GGTGTGGGTGTGGGTGTGGGTGTGGGTGTGCGTGTGCGTGTGTGGGGTGTGGGTGTGGGTGTGGGTGTGGGTGTGGGGTGTGGGTATGGGAATATAGGCGTGAAGGTAGTAGCAGAGCAGATGAAAACCCACACCCACACCCACACCCACACCCACACCCACACCCACACCCTAGTTCGCTCTGCGTGTACCCATTTCAGGCTTACAGGGTCTCTCCTTGGTCGTGCGCGTGCGTACGCGAAAATGAGCCGAAAAGCAAACCGAAAAAGAAAATGAATAGCAATCGAAATGAATTTATTGAGCAAACAAAAAGAACAAATTACATTTTCTTTCGAATGTTTTCAAATGTGTCTTTATAGTCCGAAAGATGAGGATGAGTTGAAGGTAATTTTTCTTGTGCTATTTCTATCGTTTGTTGAATACTTTTCATTGCCATATTGTATTGTCGAGTAGACAAATATAATTTTGCCATATTGTGATATATAACAGCTAAATCAGGATGATCATTTGGTAATTTCTTCTGACGTATTTCTAATCCTTTTTCAAAATATGTCAATGCTGTTGTATAATCTTTCATTTCTCGATAAATTTCACCTAAATTTATATATGTCAATGCACAATCCAAAGGATTACATTGAACATTTTCTTGAATATTTAATGCTTTTCGATGAAATGAAAGTGCCTTTTCATAATCTCCCATTAATCGATGAACATCACCAATATTACTATATGCCACAGCTTGAAGGGGATGATTTTTAGGTAAGGCATTTTGCCATATTGAGAGACACTTTTTGAAATTCTCAAGTGCTCTTGGATAATCTTTCATACTGCGATAAATCTTTCCAAACCAGTTGCATGGATAAGCCAAATCTGAATGATTCGGAGGCAGAGATGTTTGTCTTATTTCAAGGGATTTTTTGTGAGATACAAGTGCTTTGGAGTAGTCACCCATGTTGTAATACACTTGACCGATGTTGTTGTAGGAAGTAGCCAAATTGGGATGATTCGGAGGCAGAGCTTTTTCTATTATTTTCTGTGCTTTTTCGTAAAATTCTAGTGCTTTCGAGTAGTCGCCCATTCGGTTATACACTCCAGCGATGTTGTTGTAGGAAGCAGCCAAATCGGGATGATTTAGAGGCAGAGCTTTTTTTGTGATTTCTAGATCTTTTTCGTAAAATCCAAGTGCTTTCGGGTATTCACCCATGTTGGTATATGCGAGACCGATGTTGTTATAAGTATTAGCCAATGAAGGATGATCTTCTGGGAGAGTTTTTCGGTAGATTTCGAGGAATTTTTCATAAAACGTAATCTCTTTCTCATATTGGCCTTGCTGCCATTTTACTCTACCCAATTCGTGATAGATATATGCTTTATCGCTGTCGTCCGATGCTTGTTCTAGTAATGTAGTATACAATTCTTCGGCCTTGTCAAATTGACCTATTTGGAGCAGCAATTGACCCAATCGATACCATCCAGTGCTACCCGACGTTTCTTCTGCTATACGATCGGTTAATCGACGGAGTTGTTGGTCATCATCTGCCGTAAGTTTAAGGTCCACTTCATAAAGTGGACTTTTCTTGTCAATTTTTCGAACGTCACCAATGCGAAAAACTGTGTGCATCGAGAAGAGAATTTCATCTTCTTGTACGAAATCACTCAGCTCCCGAATCGAAGCGAATGGGGTTGATGACTGTGTGGGATCGATAATCAGTTTCAATAGAACACCAACCATATCTGTTGCTCCTGAGGCATCCTTGGCGAACCCGAGAGAAATATTTCGATTTTTACTGGTCGATAAAAAATTATTGAACGAAATAAGTCCACCTTTATTTTTAGTGATTTTTTCAAAATCTGCCGTTAGGAATCCTTGCCCCCGATAATGTAAAAATGTCTTACCATGATATTTATTGATTTGTTTGTTGTGTAAATCTTCAATTTGTCGATGGACATCACATAAATAAAATCCCATTCGGATAATGATGTCACCATCGAGTGTTCGTAATGCTCGATTAAGCATGTTGTATGTAAAGCATTGGCGTGTATACCACCATATCGCCAATGCTGGTTGATAAGTACGCTGAAATTCATCGATAATTTTGAGTTCTGTTTTATTACCTTTATATTGTTCTTGGCAGAAGGTGACCAAATCTTTAATGGCTTGTTGATCGTGATCCATATCAAGGAGAATTTCCTTGAATATTTGTGTATACATGAAGGACGGTTCTAGCCGATTGAGATCTTCGCTAGAACCTCCTTCATTCACGCCAATAATACTAACAGTTACCTGATCTTGATTACATTGTTTGACGGCTATTGCTAGTTTTTCACAGATACTTTCGATTGTGGTGTGAACGCCTTTAATTTTGGGCCAATTTTTGGCCCACTCTTGATGGCGTTGTTTGTTACCACAGAAGATATAAATGCCATCTAATTTTGGCATGCCATGAATATCTGATACAAGATGTTGGCCAAGTGCACCAGAGGAGATGACAAATGATGTCTCCTCACTGTTTTCCTGGAGCTTGTCAATACATTGTTCGGCCGTGGTGCATGGGTTCACATCATTAACAACACCACGCAATTGCGCGAGTGTGTTTTGGCAATCTTCGTTTTCCATGTTGATATTGCCGTCAACCCAGATCACCAGATAATTTTCAGCCATTTGCCGCCGTCGTTGTCGATTCATTTTGAAGCAAAACTGTACTGTTGAATCAGTAACTGAATATAAAGAATAGTGGATTGTTAGTTGGACAGAGATCACCTTTTCTATTTATATGTTCGATATCGATGTTTTTTTTAATGTTTTTCGTTGACACTCAAAGATAAACTCTCATTAGTTTCAATAAATGCAAGAAAAATATGTAACAACGTCATTCATTTTATGGGTTTTTTTTCTTTCCAACTTAAGTTTGCTCTGTTTTACATGAACTTTTATTGTCTTTGTAAAACGAGGTTGACAATGCAAGATAAGAAGAAATTAAGAACTAGTAAATAGAATGATCAGAATATCATGGCAAGAAGAAAAACACTAGCATAGAAAGTAATGTTATCATCATCGTAAAATTGTAAGCTAATGGTATATTATATTGCAGAAAAATAACACTGTAGAGGAACACAGTGTGGATGTGAGTCTTGTCTTCGGTAACATTGACACCCATACCCACATCCTTTTAAAACTACAACCGATAGTGATATTAAAGATACAAATGCTGTTTTTTTAACCAAAAGTAAGAGACAAACATTATCATTACGACAGCGCTTCTGTGACAAAGAAGTATGTTGATAGCAAAATTTCGAAATTATAAAGTTTGACTCTGTTTTTATCATCAATCTGAAGAGTTAAACAACATATTTAGTAGATTTATGTTTCTATAAATATATTTATTCCGATTCTCGACTATCTACACCATCACTCTCTTCAAGTGATGGATGAATCTTATTTCAACTGTTCAACCTTCGGATCATCTTCCGTCGAGAGTGACCATCTTGTGTTTTAATTATGATTCAAATATTTATTTATAAATATGATTTAAATAGATTCTTGCTTCATTAATTGAACCTACTAAGACTCAATATCATTGGTCGGGTTGTAATCTTTTATTTTCAACATCAATACAATTAACAGAAGTACAAAACTTTAAATAAATTTTTTGTCAGAGGATCTCTAACAGCTGAAAACAGTCCCCTCGAAAACTTTGATTTCTTCTATGTTAAATTAACATATGTACACGTAATTGGATACCATTTAAATCCCTTTATTCATTATTTCTTTACTTACGAGCACATAAACAAGATCGACCATATCAATGTTCACATATTTACACGTGCAGAATATTGACGTTTACATGAACGTTCACATACAGGTGAGTTTTTTTGATTATTTATTCAATTTAATTTTGAATTTTTCTTATTTGAAACCGAATAGGTGAAAAACCAAAGTCATGTGAATATGCTGCTTCTTCAAAAGCATTTAGTAATTCATCAGATCGAACAAAGCATATTATACGAACACATTTAAATAAAGTTTGAGTTTAAATAAATTAACAACAAAACAAAAGTTTCTTTTTTTGTTTTCTTTTAGAAAGAATATAAATGTCAAATTCAAGGTTGTGGTAAATCTTATACAGATTATTCATGGTGAAAATCCATTTCAACAAAAAGAACATAAACGTATAGATGATAATAATGATAAACAATTTGAAGAAACAAAAGACAAATATTTCGAATACAATATTATTTTCAAATGTTAATTAGATTTTTGTTTTTATTTATAATAATATGATGATGACGATGAAGATGTAATTGTTGATCAAAGACTTCCATTAAACGTTGATGTAAATCACTTCTTGTTGTTTAGATCATGGGAGATCATTTAGGAGAATTATCAGTCGGTACTACGACTGCTTTGCCAGTTCATCGAACACCAATGACGAATTCTTTAAAACAAATTGCAAAAAACAAACTGTTTTACCAGCCATGTATATTACAGGCGTATATGAAACAGATCTATCAATTAAAGATCGTATACCGAGATTTATCATATGTGCATAAAACAAATGCTTTCGCTATCAAACTAAGTAATTAAATCTGTGAGAACTTCCTAGCGTGCACACACCGAGTTCTTTGAATTTTAAGTTATTTATATTATCTTGATCATGAGACGATACTTGAACATTTCAACAGAATTTAGTTTTACTTTTAGGATTTGTGCAATCCTTCGGTTTAGTAATTATTTATTTCAGTATGTGTAAATCTATCATAAATCACTCATAAATCTTTTCAATTGACTTAATTCAACTTTCTTTTTATTAATTAGCTGAAAATAATTCCAATCAAAAGCGAACTTGATTCATCAGGTTCTGTATATGTCTAATCCTAAATAAAAAAACAACGAAAAGAAAGACTTTTATCTAATAATATACTTGGTAAATTATTGAAAATTTGAGATAATTCTCATAGAAATTATTGTAAGACAACAATATGTCATTCAATGAATGTTGATACAGGTATCTTTTTTTTTTATTTCTTATTAATAACATTTCAATCAATGAAAAGATTTCTTTGGCTCAATATTCAAGTACATCACCATACGAATATGATTGTATATCAAACGATAATATCAAGTAGAGACGTTTCTTAATTCAACTAAATACTCAAGATTTAGGTTTGTTAGATATGAAACACGAAGTAATAATGCTTTAACAATTCTGTCTGTTCAAACTTCTCTTGTTTGTATGTAATTTTTATTAAAAAAATTATCAAAAATATGTTGTCTTTTTCTTCCTATTAGAGTTCTCTTAGATGTTCAAATGGAAGTTCGCACAACTTCTTACATCATCACATGTAAATTTAATAACAAGTCGTTTAAGTTCAATATTAACCAACGAATAATCACCATCAAGTAGTTTTTGTGCTAGTGCATTATCAGGTGGCATTCAACAAATATCAGTATCAAATTCTAATCCTAAAATAACACATTTTATTTATCTTTGTCAAAAACTTGAATATAATTAACATTTAGATACCGAAGATAATTAAACAGCAAGAATTGTTGTTTTCCTCGTCCTTAAAATAATACTAATAATATTTTTTCATTGATCTCTTTCTTTAATTATAGCTGCAACTCAGACAAATAATACAACATAGAACTTCAATTTATTTACAAAACTAATATGTTGAAAATGTAAGGTAGAGCTCATCGGATCCAAAGTTTTCGGATATGATTCGCAGAAAGGGCATGAATGTCGATGTGGAAGTTACAAAATAGACCTACATTAACACTCACCCACATTCACATCCTGTTTCTTATCGGTTGACTTTTTTGGAATAATGTTCTTGAAAGAATCGTGATATATACAAAACTTTGATGCAGATTATTTTAGATTTGTGAAACAATACGTTCGAACTCTCGTTCACGAAAGTAAAAAATTATTGATGATTATAACATTATTCTAAATAATGCATTACTGTTAATTATTTGATGCATTTTACTGAATAATGGATCATTTTTGCACTATTTATTCATTATCGACTGCATGAGTAGCGATTGTGGATTCATGAAACGAACGATGTTAGATGCTGATAGTCATACATGGATGGTTTTCAAGAAGTGGTCCATTGTCAGACGAATGTCGAAATCCAATATTTTGTTTCATTTTTCATTATTTTTTTCCGTCATGTATAGCCTTTCAGGAATCTATTGTCAAATCGAAGTTGTCCTATTGTTCACTATCATTTTCTATTTTCCATATGAATTATGAAAGTCAGTTATGAAAGCAACTTTATTCATTAAGATCAGTTAGATAAACATAGAATGACACGAATACTTTAGTTTTGAATCATTTTAAATTCTTTTAGAAAGAGTATTTTTAAGGACAACGTCAATATGCTGTTTCTATATGACGATAAAATTTATCCGATCGATAGAACATTCGAAGAGTCGTGTTGTGTGTAACTGCAAACCAGTGTATCCTGCTTTATTCATTGTTCTCTATTCAACTTAATCAAATCTTTTATTGCTTTAACATGTTGCGATAGGAGGGTTCAAAATGAATCTTGATCAAGTTCATCACATAATTCTGTAATGATCTAGTCCATAAAAAGCATGATGCCTTCGATTTTGTATTTTCGATTAATAACCATTCGTATGATATTTGACGCAATAATTTTGGTGCATCAATTCAAGAGACAATTGATGCAATTTTTTAGCAAAATAATCTCTAATTGTACATAAAATCATTATGAATTTTGAATGATGTTGCATAAGAAGTTTATAACAGGTAAGCACAACTTGATGTAGAAGCTAAGAAAACAATCATTTATACAAAAGTTGATTTAAGTAAAATTTTTCAACAAATGACGAGACAGATTGAAATCAGCATTGTTTAGATTTTGTGACCAATTAGATCTCGTCTTCAGTGCTTAGTGGTCGCACCATTTATTTTGTGTTATGATTTCTGGACGACGAAAACCAATGTTGATCTTCATATGAAATTTAACTGAGGTGAGCAGAGCACAACGTCTTCTTGCTTCTGAAACTTTTACTTTTTTTGAGCAGTAAAACGGAAAAAGTTACTTTCTTGGAATGTAAAGCGACCGGATCGATATGAACAAAGACTATATCCACTGCTTTGAATAATTTATTTGTTGTTATGAATAGGATTCTTCATAATGCAAAAATTTCTTAGCTCCTGTCGTTCATCTTATAACTCTGTACAATCTATTGAAACTCATTGAAGATTCCAAATTACACTATTTAATAGATTGACTGGTAATTTTAATGCTTGTCCTAATGTACAGCACACATCTCACGCAGGATTTTTTTCGACTATATTTTAAACAATCAAGAATATGATCGGATAAAACGCCTTAACAGTTTTGAATACATTAACTAGTATCAATCGAATAGACCATCTCACGAAAGTAGATTAATGATTTATAATTATATTTTTATTGACAAGAGTGATATTTCTGCATTAAATGTGTACTTGGTATATATTGACCTATCGTTCTATTATTGCTTTGTTGTTTCTATCTTTGTATATTTGTAATCTATTTGCCTTCTCTGTGATATAAAAACTACTAAGTTTGTCTTCAGATGTACAGACAAATTTCGATCAAAATATCTGATTAGTTTTGCACCATTTAGTCACTACGGTACCTTTTGTTGTCTTCATATGAATTATCAATAACGTTTTCACAAATAAATTACAAAAACATTTTCCTCTCAATAGATCACAATCGCGTGTATGTAGTTGTTGAAATGATAAAAACGATGACAGACAGAAAAATGATTTTCGATCACATTTTGAAATTTTCTTGAAGTTTTATATGAGTGTGGGTGATTTTCTCATTGGACACTCACTCCCACACCGCTGTTTTTAACCATAGAGCCTTTCATTCTGTTCTTCAAGAAACGCTGTATTTCAATAAAAAAAAAATGAAATCTCCCATAGTTTTAGGTATTAAAAATTTGACCAGAACAGTCTCCTAACGTATGAGAGCGATGGTATTGTTGTTTGGCGTGCTTTTATACTTTTTCTTCGTTTCAACGTGATGTAGCAAACACGTCCTTGGAAAGAAAAGTGTAAACGAACGAACAACAACACATAGTTTCTTTTTTCTTAGGCAGAAAAAAAATCATGCGTCAAACCTAATCTATTTGTCAGCACTTTATTTACTTCAAACACGAGTGACGATATATCATAAGACTGAACGTGTGTCTAAAACAAGTTTTTAAAAAAAATAAAGTGATTTCTCTAATTTATTTCAAAGAGAGTCGAACTTTTTGGTTCATATTATTTATCTTGTTCAACAGGTCTAGATGGCTGAGCATCGCCGAAATCTTCGTCTTAATGAAATAACAGAGAATAAAGAAGGAGTTCGATTAATTTGGCTTGATCCAAATATTAATGATTCAACTGACTCTATAGAAATGCAAACAATCCTATTAGAGTTGAATCCAGCTGCTTTATTTTACACTGATGCTAATACTTGTATCGATTTGCTCAAATCGATCAAAGATATCTATATTTATTTTCTGTAACAAACGTCAACCTCACATGTTGTTCATGAATAGATATGAGAAAATTATTGAAATATTGATTAGTCAAGATTCTTTATTGAAATCTATTTCTGAAACGATGAATCTTGTTAAACAACGGATAATGATCTTTAGTTTATTCGATCAAAAACAGAATCTGCACGAGATTTGTCTAAAGAATCAGCTTCATTTCTGTGACATCAGAATTGAGCTGAAGAAAATCGAAGAATTTCGAAAAGATTATTGTCCTGAAAAAGCAATCGAATGGTATACAGATCATTGTTTTTTTTATAAATTCCTAAATCAAGCTCTTCGTACAGAAGATATCGAATTGCTTTATTCATTTTGATTCTTTATTATTGATTTATGTTTTGAAATCGAAAATATGAAACTAACGAGCGGCAATGTTTTAAAATTGTATCGAGGACAAAAAATTCCAATTGAAGAATTCGAAAAATTGAAAAATAATATCGGGACAATCACATCAACCAATGAATTTTTCTCCACTTCAAGGTAACACTTCAAATGATCATCGATCAGTTCTTTTTGAAATTGAAGTTGATCTATCCCTCACAACGGTCGTCTGTGCACATACTAGCATCAAAAGCCTAATGAAACATGCAAAAGAAGTTCTTTTTCAGCTCAATTCTCTTTTCAAAATTGTTTCTATCGATTTTGATTCGGATTATCACTTGTGGAAAGTGCAACTAAAAACAACAAATGAAGGTACACAAATTGTTCAAGAATATCTAGCAATGGTTGAGAAATAAATGATTGACTATTCACCAATTATTTATTTTGGTCGTCTTCTCCTCAAAGAGTTAGGTCAAGTTGGTCAAGCTGAAAAATTTTACAACATATTGCTTAGATCTCTTCCACCAGACCATCCGGACGTTTCTTTCGTCTATAACGGGCTTGGAAATGTGCATGAAAAAAGAGACGAACAAAATTTGACATTAAAGAATTATGAAATTGCTTATATGATTCGTCGAGAGCGATTACCACCACCAAATTATGACTTAACATACAAAGAGAAAGGCGATCTTGATGTTGCATTTAATCATCTCTTTCTTGCATTCGAAATGTTCCAGCGTGTTCTGTCTTCGCAACATACTAACATTGCTTGGTGTCTAGGTAATATTGGATTAGTTTACATCGACAAGGGGGACTGCTGATGTACTTAAATACAAAGATTTGAATGAAGCACTCAAAAACTATGAAGAAGCTTTGTCTATTTTTGAACAATCAATACCGGTTGATCATCAAGCAGTCGCTAATTGTCTTACTGCCATGGGTAATCTCTATTCAATAATCGATAGCTCAGATAGTGCTTTGCAATATCATCTAAAAGCATTAGATTTGTATCATCAAACACCCTTAACTTACTGGTATATGAATAATCCCACGGAAACATTTCGCTATTTGAATGAAAGTCTCTCAATCTATCGAACTAGTTGTGGACCAGAGAATGAAGCAGATATTGCCAAGTTGAATGCCGAACAGAAGAAAGCTATGCATGTCGAACCTGTTCAGGATAATCTGAATGAAGAACAATGTACTTCTATCACTCTTCATTCTGATTCTTCTTCATCTTTTGCTAAACAAACATCACTATCTGTTAATATGACCCTCAAGTCGGAGCTTACACATAATGATATTATTAACACAGCTAGAACTTCTACCAAGAGTACAACATGTGAGATCCAGTAACATTCATGTAGATTACGCCTTTGATTCATAATGTACTCAATAAAGAGTGATGAGTGGATGTTGAAATAAATAAGTAACACAAAAATCAAGTTAGAGACTTCTTTTGACGTTTTCATTCATTGATACTTTTTGAATTGACCAATAAGAAAAATTGTGCGGAATTAGTCGAAGCCATTATTATAACTATAAATGAAATTAAATAGCAATATTATCTTTGATTAGACGAAAGAATGATCTCTCAAAATATTTTACTTGGACATCTATTTGTTGCAAAATTAAGAGAGAAATAAGTCAAAAAATTTTGCTATTTTTCGTGTTAATGACGAAATACAAAATATTGAAATTTCGATTTATAACTAAATAGAATTTAATGCCAGCAATATTTAGTAAGAAAAGAACATAGTACATATAAACAAAAAGTAAAGGAAGAAGAACGAAAAAGTGGAGAAGCTAATATTCAGTCTACTTTGGCTTATCGAAAACCAATTAAAATTTGAAAAGAAGAAGAACTCATTTGCACCGATCACAACAGATGCAAAAGTCAAGTTGGTCTCGGAGATATGAGAGCAAGCAGATTTCTCTTGATATAATTTATGCCATATTGTGAGTGATGAGATAATTAACCAAAGGAGAAAAGAATAAAAAGGTTTATAGTAGATCAAAAAAAACTGAGAGCAGCAAGAGTTACTTTGTATATATACATCCACCACTATGAGGCACTGTTATCATTAAACAAATAAACATCTATGTAGAAAGAAAAATTTCGGCGAAACGCCTTTCGCTGAATTGACACCATATCTTTTTAAGTGATCAATCATTACAAACATCACTATTCTAAGTGTTTTTTGAAGAGAAGAAAACAGCTACGTCATACGAAGATTAAGTTAAGTATGTAAACAGTCAATCGTTTTTGGTATTTCATGGCGAATGAGTTAGAGCTACGATTACATGTTTTTATACTTCTAAATACTTTATCAGAAGGCTTGTACTCGAATACTCCTACAAAGGAAACGTTTCCAAGTGATCCTTTGCGGTTGCTTTGATTTGATTGCGATACAATATAGACTAGACAACGAAACACGAAGGTACAATTTTGTCACTTTTATCTGTCGGTAAATAGAACTAAAAACAATGGTAAAATCAGTATTTTTTTTTGAATCAGTTCAAAAGTACACTAAAAGACCATTAATATTCGGTATTATTATATGAAATTAATGTGTATGTATTTAATCGTTTGTTTACCGAGTAGCATTAATCATGTGGGATTGGTGATGTTTTTGCTGTATTAGTAGTGCTCGTTTTCTTAATAACAATTAGATTAACGATAGTATGAATAAGTGAAAGAATGAACATGACAAGAAGAACCACTTTCATAGCATAAGCTAATTCGGTCTCGCAATTGATATCGGATACTATTGAATTACAGCGTTTATATAGAGCTAAATTAACAATAGAAGCAATCAAAATGCCCAACGACACTACGAGAGCAGGCAAATAGGCCCATAGAAGATAAATTATTGCATATATTGGTTGACATGTAACAATCAATGTGCTGATGCCTGAAGATATAAGAACACCACTTATACCAAACCCAAGATACCATGTTCGACGTGAATTGAATATAAGACCAATGTCCATACCAATATTGACGATGACCAATAAGAAATAAAGTAGACCTGAGCAAAGAAAAAATACTTTGAGAGTAGGTGTTATAATAGTAAATTTCTGATTAGTCGAAGAAGATGGATGAATCAATTGAGATTGACCAGAGGATGAATGTCCATCATGAAATGTTGAGGTTTGTATCGATGTTCTATTCATAGACATATGATGTTATTCTGAATTCATCAATGATTTAATATGTTTTTTTCAGAGAGATTTACTTACGGATGAACATTGTCGGATCTTATATAAGATTGAGAAGACTGTGGATATTTATCATTAGTACTGAAACCTTCTTTACCATACTCATGTTTGGCGCCATGATCAAGAGACATTTGGATTTGTATTTGATTAATGTGTTCGTATTTCAAATGAAGGTCGATTGTTGTTCGTTGCTTCTACTACAGTAATCTATATCAACATGTTTTAAATATTCTTCTTTTTTCTGCTATTTGCTTATGTCGTCATATCAGAAAATGACGCACGTTTATTGACTCATGCTCTTCATATTGAAGATAAAAATTGATAGAGAGACTTATTAAGTTTGTAATGTTCTGCATTCCTTTAATCAACGAATACTTCCAAAACGTTTTCTATCCAAATTCGAATTTAATATTAGAAAGAATTTAAATTCATCGAGAAAAAATAATCTCAAAATATTTTTTATTAATAAAGTTTGTTGCCGCGCCATCTATCATAAAAAATTTTCTAAGAACTGGAACCGACCTGGAATCTGTAATTGATATAAGCAATTCAGGCACTTCAACAATATCAGATTGGATAGAAACCGATTCAATTCTGTTAATTTTAATGGACTTCAAAAACTATTCAACCATTTTGATACAACACATCATGATACACTAACCGGTAGTTTTCTTGCGATTTGAATCATATGAAAAGTGATTAAGAATTCATTTGTACTTGTTATCCGGTGGTAGAATTTTGTGTACCTAGTGAAATAGATAGATTCTATTCTACAAATAACAAATGAACTTTCCTATGATATTGTTCATATCTTTTCAAAGACATAAAATTCTGACTTTTGAGCCAGAGATGTCCATCGCGGCTGAAAATCTGCCGCTGCCGCGATGGGATTTTGAGAAACGTGCCGCCATGGACATCTCTGTTTTGAGCCATTTGTATATTAAAGTTCTTCATAAATGGTTAGAATCTTAAGGTAAAATCTTCGAACCTTATCAACAGGTGAATTAATAAAATCTCAAGAAATAAACATTCTAACCAATTGGAACAAATTTTAGAATAGATGACCTTAAAAAGTGATAATCATTGACTGAATGTATTTTAAAAGCTGAATATTTTTTTTTAGATTCCATGCGAATAAGTTTAATAACAGTTTATCTAGATTAAGTCAAAGACTAGAATTGATCTCCGTAAAACATATCTCTATTTGCCATTTTCTTTTCACTTAATAATCAAATAAGACAATACTCAAATCTTAGATTTATAAATTCTTAAAAATTGAACAAATAAAAATTATCCAATAGTCATTTGTATGAAGTACTTCGACACTTATTGTTGAAAACAATCACTGAATAGTTGCCATCGAAACAAAAACAAAATAACTTTAAATATGTATATATCTTCAACAGATAAAGAACAAAATATTATTTTTATTTTTTATATAATATATATGATTATGTTGTATAAAGAAAATTTAATGAAATCTTAATTAATCGATAATATTAGGTAATTTTTCATAACTAACAAATGAATTAAGAAATTTTTCTTCTTCACCACGTAATAATAAAATTTCATCTTCAAATTTCGTTCCATGACGTTCACGTATTAAAGATGTACGATGAAAACCTTTTAAACTATGACAATTCATACAATTTTCTATTGGATATTGTGACCAAGTAAAAATACTTTTATGACATTCAATACATTCAAAAAATTTTTGTTTTATTTCACATATTTTAACATAATGTTGTTTTTGTTTACATAATATTGATTGTTTATATGATGTATAATGACATTGTCGACAAATAATAACTTTTATATCACGTTTCATTATTTGAAGAAGTTTTTCTTCAATATTTTCTTTTTTTTTATAACGTTCAAATATTTCATCAAGTGTCATTTGATTATATAAATCAGAATGAGATGATTTCATATTCAATATATCAATCAAATGTTTTTGATCAATTGAATCAGTATTATTATTGGATATTTTCAAACGTTTTGATGAAAGATTTATATCAGATTCAATATTTGATTGTTTCGGAGAAGAATTTAAGTATATCAATTGCGCGTTGTTTAGCATTATTAAGGGGGAACCCCCCCCCCCCCTCCGAAACCTATCTTCTAAACGATACAACAGATTTCGATGAAAATTTCAGGAAATAGAAAAGCTAATGTAACTAGCATCTGATAAAAATTTCAACCAATCATTTTGGATAATTAAGAAGCTATACTCAATTTACTCATGAAAACGGGGGTTTTGGCACGGAACATTTTCCCGATGCGCGGTAGCATGAAAAATGTTGAACTTTGTTTCAAAATGGAGAAAAATCTTTTATCTAGAAATTGTAGGAACAGTTTTTTGAAATTCGTTTTCGTTCAATTGTAGTAATCATTTTAAATCGAAAATCGCAAAAACTGCTTTGAGCACTTTCAAAGATTTTCAAATATCTAAACAATGGAGATATATTTTGAAAATCTGTTCCGACAATTTCTAGAAAAAAGTCTCATCTTTTAAATAAATAAAAATCAGCAGAGTACATCAAGCGGTGAACTGGGAAAATGTTCCGCAATGGTCAGAAAACGATAAAAAAGTGAAGCTGAGAAAAACGAATAACAACATTGCGACGTAGTTGATGATCTTCTTGTAGAGAGAATTCGAGCATATTATATATCACTGAAAAGCGCATAAAAAGTTCTTATAGTTGGTAGTATTTTCAAGAAAAAAATAAGCCGATTTCTTAAGCTAATTTCTGAATCCAAGTTCACTGTAGCGCCATCTTTTCGAAAAATAGCCTAATTTTGAACCTTTCTTATAAGACTGCAACATCCAAAACATGATTACTCTATACGGTAATGGTTCTAGAGTGCTAATAAAGAAGGTAGAACGATATTAGTTACCGATAATTAAGAAAGAAAATCAACAAGACAGCCGATTTTCCATTATAGCGTCCAGTAAACTTGCCAAAATTGGGCAAAATATGTTCCATTCCTATATAGTTTATACATATTCTGAAAGAGGACACTTGGGGCTACAAGAAGATGTGTTTTTCCAAAAATCGACTTTTTCAAGGAAAAATCGACTTTCGAAGGGGGGGTTCCCCCTTAATTGCTTCAGAACTAGCTGATTTTGTTAAATCAACAAATTGTTTAGGTGATGATACTAAAAAAAGTAAAATTCAATTCTTGAAAATGAATCACTTTTGAATTGAAATTAATTTTTAAATTTCAATTTGAAACAGATATTAAACAAGCTCGTAAACAAAAAAACAACGTAATGATGTTTCATAATCTTCAAAAGATACTTTATAAAATGAAATCCTATAAAGTCTTCTTATATTTTCTCGAAATAACTTACTTTTGTTAATGACATATGTTGAACTTGTTTGATTTAGTGTTAAACTTGTTGATGAATTTTTTAATTCTCGTGTAGGTGATGTTGATGCAGCCAATGTAAACCTAATGTTTAATTGTTAATTCATTAGTATTTGGAAAATTGAAATTATTTTCTTGAGTACATGAATAAAATCTATAATCTTTTCTTTTGTATGGATTTGTTAAATAAATTCTTACACTATCTAATTTATTTTGCCAATTATGTTTATGTGTAAAAACACACATTGGCATCAAGTCCATAATGAAGAGTCAAATTAATAAATTAAAAGAAGATATATTAAGTCATTATTTTGTATAATACTAGTATGATATAGATGAAAAATACGTAAATTTGCCATTGAAGATAAAGTTGGATCATATTCTATAAGGCGTAAAACTGCAACACAACGAAAGAAATATTTTATTAATTTTTGGAATAAATTGAAATGTATATTATCAACTTTAATAGAAACATATTTGAAATATTCTAATGTAATAGAATCTTGATAAATATTTTGATAATTAGATCCTGAATCAATTGAAAAACGATTATTAAATACAAAATATTCATTAGGACTAAGTGTAAAGTCAGTCGAATAAATTGACATTAGTTGTTGATCATATTTTATTTGATATATAATTTTATAACATGTTAATTTCGATAAACGAAATATATGATGAAAAAGAATACATGGATCTTGAACATAATCAACAAGACTAAAAACTAATGAATGTAATTTTGATAAATAAATAAAATCTTAAAGAATGTTATTAAGATGTTTTGCATAAATATTATCATAAATTAATGTTTCAAGTTGAATATAATCACAAATAATGTGTGGTGGCGAGAAGATAATCTTAACAGTAAATGGATTTGATAAAGATAATATTTGATTTTGACATTGTTATAATATTTATTTGAATTAAAAAATTTCTATTGACAATTAAACTTATTAATCATTGATTAAGATAAAATAAAATTGTTCGTAAACATCATAAATATCAAGATATTGAAATATTTCATAAATAGTTTCATTTTCTAAATTTTCAAAACGGGATCTAAATCAAAATAAAATTCGATGCTTAAATAAACTTCATAGAGCTAACTTGTTAATTAATACTAAAAGCGAATAAGAAAAAAAGAACTATAAATATATATTTTCATACAAAACATTTCTTTTTACAATATTTTTTTAGTCTTATATAATTGAAATTCAATCAAATCAATTACAAAAGATAACGAACTTGAAATTTCATTTGATTTTCATTTAAGGAAACGGATTTTTCTCTAAATTTTCAGATCAACAACATAATTTACTAAACAAGAAAGATTTGAACTAATTGAATAAAAAGCATCAGAAATGATAAAACTTTTAAAAACATCAAAAAATCTCTTTCTTTTTGATCATCAACAAAATGGCTACAAAATTATTTGATTTTCTTGGATCTGATAATGTTGAAGATGATCCATTGTCATTGAATAAACACTCTTTTAGTGCTAACAATAATAAATGATATTTCCATTTCTAAAGATTAAATCAAGGTTAA